AGTTATTATATCGCAAGTCTGAACTTTGCAATAAGAACAGGGAAGAGTTTCATGAGTTTCATACATGTAATTCACCAAAGAAGCTACATCTCAGATGCTTTTCTTCAGTATGTAAGCTCATGGTGACACTGAGTGAGATTTGCTTCCATGTTTTTTTCAGTATACTATGGCCAAGAATAGAGTTTTTATGCATACGCAGCCGAGGTATTTCCTTCTACTCAATTTACCGATTTTATTTTGTTTGTAACTTTTGCCCATTGTCTAGAAGGAACTGATGTCTTCCAAACTTATCGATATCCACATCCTGCTGTTTGTGCTCCTGTAGTCGCCTGTTAATGTCGCTGGAATGGTCCACATAGACTGATGTACTGAACGCTGCTGTATGTTTGCGTGAGGCCTATGCATGGCGTAAATACCTTAATTCAGTCTGAGGTGCTTTATCGAGATCATTGTCATAGAATTTCCATATTTTGGTTTATAAGAAGACGTTGACAAATATTGGAGGCCATCCAAGGGATCATAAAACTGGTGTATAAATAGCTCTGATGTAGACAGTTTTCGCCGTGTTCGTTTTCTGCAATTTTTGTTGTCGCAGTAAAAGTTGTTCTCGATTGTACTACTGTTTGTGGCCAAAAAAGACTGAAAAACGACTCTTGTTGAGCATTCAATGTCAACAACTGCGGTTGGCTACAGTTGCGGTAGGCTGTTTTTGAGATTACTGCGAGAAATGTTATCAGTCAGTTAATTGTGGAGCTCATTATTAATAGCTATTTCGCTTATTAACCATTTTCAACATTCTGCTCTGGGGGTTAGAACAGAAATTAATAAACGGAGAAGTAAAGTAAGACACATCGTTGTTATTACACGATGAGAGTTTCATCAGCTACTCGAGTAGTAGTCGGCCAATATTCACCAAACATGCTTCATATTTATTAATCACGTTCACTTTCGCTGTCATTTTTGAACAAGGAATGAGCAAAATCTATTTAGGGAAATTCCGGAGGCAAACCTGAGATGTTGCTGATGCTCAATTAAAGGAGACTTTGAATACAGAGAGCAAGTTCTTACACCACAATCAGCTATCCATGAACAATCTCAAGCAAGCTGGACTTGAGAATAAAACTACTGCTGGACTTACCTCGCTTAGGTTTTCACCTGTTCAGTGATCGTGGTCTTTTATTTATTTCTTGTTGCGTGTGAAGGAATGGTTTTCGAATGGTTTTTGAAGGAAAGGATTTTATTAATTTATAATTTTAGATAGTGCAGGTCCACATCAGGACTTAGCGTCTTGCCAATTTTGATCTCCAACCTGCTTTATCAAATAAATTATGTATGTATGTATGTATTATGTATGTTTATACAACCAACTATGACAATGCAATACTAGGTTAGAACAGGTATGCACAACAGTTCTTGTAGATGAAAAGATCGTATGCGAATTCTCGGCTGCTCTATGTCAGAAACGAAACTTTCGGAGACTGAACAGGAAAATACGAGAAAAAAGCTTATCTATTCAAGTTCCTTATTATTTTCTCCCAACATGAGGACCAAAGAACTTGCACTAAGAATCACGCCCAATTTGTACCTTATCACTGCTGTCCACAGAGATAGACTTCCGATTTCTTTAACCTTTCTTTATAATTGTGATTGGCATTCATAGAACTCTATGCGATTTCGTGTATACAGGGACACCACCAAAGTTGTACTAGAAGCCAAAGTTTTACTCAAACATCACGCCGAAGACTTGAATAATAAATTTAATAAGGTCTAACAACTCAGAGCTTGCCGAACAATCAAACAACTGAAGTAAAGAAATTCCCGCTCAAAAATTCTTTCTGTGAAAAACATTTAATCTCATGAGCACTGTACTAAATTCATTAATAATAAAATTTTACTCAGAGGACAAATGAGTACCTGGATACAAGGTGGAAGCAAGGAAAACCAGGTCCTATCAGCCACAGATCGTGTGGGAAAATGCTAGTGCATTGGACATAACTGATTTAAATTTCTCTGTTTATATGTTTGTGAAATCATTGCAATAAAAGTAATAAAATACAAAACAAGAACCGATTTAAACAGTTATTAAATTTTAAAATTTAAAAGACAACTTTTGAGGTCTACTTGACTCACAAGCTGCACTGACCAACTAAAACCTATGCAAACGTCTTTTCAACGCCTGATGTTATATTTAGGCCAATAACCTAATTTATGCGCAATACATTCAATGTATTCCTTCTCCTTGATCTCTTGGTTCCTCTCCATCACCCATTTGATTCGTAAGTCTTCACCTCCATTGTCCTCAAACTCTTCTTTGACAAAGAGATCAATCTTCAAATACTGGCGCTTATGCTCAACAAGTCGCCTGTGGACGTCGTTCGTTCGACCGACGTAAAGGACCGTTGGCCCCCCGAGATGGAACTGTCGCGGGGCGCCGGGTAAAACACCGATGCAATATATGCCTTCAATGCCACGGGGTATGTTTTCGACATCATATGCCCTCCACTCCTCTTCTATTAACCTTTCACAAATATTTGATACCATTTCGTCACGTTCAACTGCATCCATAGAAAAAAAACAATGAAAATATTGATATTTAGAATTTTGAAAAGTCATGTGGTTCAGATTAGTCATGAAAATTTGAAACGATGACTTCGATTAATGAATTAACTGACTGAATGACAGATCGATGTATTGATAATTTCATAATTGATAAATTAATTGATTAGAAAGTCAGCTCAAAACAATCAAAGAAAAAACTAACAAGTGAACAATTGATTCACTTTTTACTCGAACGAAAAATTGCTGAATCGCTCAACGCAGCCCTGAAGTTCTCTTTGCGTTCTTTTAAAAAAGAAGGCCCTGGGACGAACTCACGCCACTTTGAGAATTGAATCATGCGTGACTCTTCGGTTTTGCAGGAAAGATAATTTCATGCATGACCAAGCAAGTTCTAAGAAATCATATTTCTTGTCCGATTCAAGGTCATGAGCACAATGTTACTAACGGTCTATTAATTAGGCGATGGTTTTACGTTGGTCGACCATACTAAAGAGGTACAGCGCCTCAGTGAATCAGTCAAGAAATCAAAATCGGCAGTTAGTTCACATATCGATCGGCATTCCGGTGATATTTAATCTTACCTTTGGCGCACCTTTTTTGGCTTTAATACTTCTCGACTGGTGGGGACTGCAGCTTCTTTATACAATGTAAAAGGCCGAAAGAAAAGAAGTTGGCATAATGAAATATCACTTCATTTGTTTATAAGGCCCCACTCTGACTGATCTGAGAGCTCCCGGAGGCTGTTTTGGACGAGTTTCGGCGTATCAACGGTCGAACCCGCCAAAATCTACTGAATGCTTTCATTTCATTTGAGCACGCTATGGTAGCCGGCGTTCCGATCGTTGAGAAGAAACACTTCCCAAACCGCCTCCAGGAGCCTCCCTGATGCAATAAAACCTTAGAAACAGATAATAGGTGAGGCTACTAACACGTTTATTCATTCTATTTTCAACTTACGAAGGAAAAGCCAAATTTCCTCTATCTAATTTCACACCGTGACATACAAACCAGTCTTACAGTAAACACTTTTCCTACCTGTGATAGAACACGCGCATCGTTCGATTCGGTTACACATTTAGTTGACATTAATTTCAATGAAACATCGCTTCACGGCACATACATTTCCAATGAGTGCAACTGACATCAGATAACGACTGACTTTGACTACACTAATATTCAATATTGCAATATTTCAATAAGGTCAGAACAATTTCTTGTGACATTTTGGAATGAATTGAAAAGTCGTTTCGAAAGACACGACAAAATCAAGAAAAACCTTACCTCGAGCTCTTTCAGGGGACCGTGGTCTATCTTGTGGATATCGTGGATGAATGTTTGCTAATTTGAACTTGGCGCGTTAGAGGTATGGAAATTTATAACCTCAATGACGTCTTATTTTAGGTGTTTATCTCCTCTTTCTAACCAATAAGAAAACTTCATTCTCGAGATTCTAACATCTCATTGGGCGATCCGTAAAGGGTTCTTTCCCTACTTCTTTATAGGTTTCATCTGATAGCTGTAAACAAGTCAAGGGATTTTTCCCTAAACAAACCGCCCAATATTTGCTCATTTTTGTTGCTATATACATATGATGCAATATCTTCAGGTTATTTCTTTGTCAAATTCTTTTATCGCAGAAGATGGGACTTTTCCCTTAGAAATCGAAAGCGTTAGCTTAGCAAATAGTTTGGAATAGTTTGTTTTCGAGTAATATCTGAACTATAATATACAATTTATGTTTCGCGCGTTATTACCATTACTAAAATTCACATCTACTATTACAAGTGAAATCACTGCTCCTAGAAATGCTAATTTGAATTCATTATGATGAAGTATTTGATTTTTGCTGAGTTATATGGGCTGAACTCGTTATACAACGACTACTACATGTACAGTTTGCCTACACTGACTGGTTTGTGATTTCCGATGTTAATACATCAGTGAATAACACACAAAAACTACACCAAGGAGTGGGATCTGGAACTCCTTGCTCAGTATTGTATATTATGATTTCACATGAGTATAATGATATAAGATTAAATAGGATCAAGGTCACATAGAAGAAGTCGAATAAAGGTGAGTTTACGATAAGACGTGATAACACTGATTTTCATGTTGAGCCTGAAGTTGCGAATCATTTCTTTACCCAGGCATAACAGCTAACAACTCAGCGGCGGATCTAGGGAAGGGGCCCGCGGGGTCCGGACCACCCTCCTTTATTTTGGGTAAAAAAAGAAAAAAAGAAGAAGGAAGAAAGAAGAATAGCCGGCAGGGCAAACACTCCTCCCCCGCCCCTTTTTTAGCTCAAGGTCTGGATCCGCCACTATAACTGATCCGTTTTTTTAGACAAAGAGTTGCATGAGTGAGATCTTATGGATACAGTGAAATCAAAATACGGTTGGCATCATTGATCGATCACCATTGTCAGCGAGACAGCGCCAAAACATGTCATACAAAACTCCTTCTAGGAACATTATCCGTACAAGAAGTAAATATGATTTGTTAGCCCTTTAACATGTAATACACGACCCTCGCTCCTTAATGTATATCTTCAACAGGGATTTCGTGGGTGTGGCGAGATCGAGTAGTGACGGTGATAACAATGGGTTGGCAGGCCTACACAACTCCTATCCACGTGTAATAGCCGCTTTGAGAGTTTTGCTCGAACTAGTATATCTTTGAGGATCTGCCCC